TGGGTTACCAGAGATAACAACATATCTATTCTAACCTTGATCAAATAAACTAATTTATATTCCTTCCTTTTACTTCTAACAATCTTAATCTTTAGTCCCTTTAAATAATGTCGCAGAACTTGATTTCTTTTCATTTGTTCTTTGCTTTCTTTCCTTCTCACAAAATTCTTCAAAGCTTTAACAAGCCTCTTTTGTAAATCCAATACCGGAAAATTATCCAGGTCATTCTCTCGGTTTGTTGTTTGTATATCCCTTTTAATTATTAAGACATCAGCCAGTCTCTTTTCTATGCCCAGTGTAGCATCTTTTTCCATGTCATTCTTGTAGTCTGTCGCTTTCAACTCAGTCTTAGTCTCAATCTTGTCAGGTAAAACTTGTTCCCCTTCCATAACATCTTTTAGACACAGTCTATCTATGGAGGCAGACATTCTTAAAATTAACTTCTGGGTCCACTGTTCAAAAATATCCTTCAATATGTCCAGTGTTAAACTATTTTGCTTCATTCCGTACAGGTAGTCCTTGATTTTCAACCACAATTGCCACCCCAGTTGACTTTCGCCGCCTTCTTGCTCCGGCTGCTGCTGAGGTGTGCCCAGCCAGGCTGCTGGGCCAGGCTGGAGCTGGGATTCACGCTGCAGCTCTGGGGCTGCTTTTTGCTTTACATGAAGCAAAAACAGGAACGTGGCACAAAAAGCAGCCCCAGCACAGCACAGCGCGAAGCCCAGCCCCAGCCCAACTGCTCAGCGCAAAAGGAGTTCTTGGTGCACTGCTGTTCGGGGGCTGCAAGAACCAATCCCAGAGCCGCAGCTCAAAGCCCAGCCCCAGCCCGGCCCAGCAACGCGACACATAGCTGCAGCAGTCCCAGCCCAGTCCCAGCCACCCTCACCATCCTGCACTCTGCAGCCCCAGCTGACCTTAGCTGTCTTCTTGCTCCCGCTGCTCACAAGGCACGCCCAGTCTGGCCCTTTGTGAGGCAGCTGGTGGCCATGTGAGGCCATCTTCCCCAGAACTTGCAAGGAAACCGCCGTGCAAAACCTGGAGAAGAAAGCCTCATGTGGCCAGCAGTTGCCTCATGAAGGGCCAGGCCAGGCATGCCTCGTCAGCAGTGGGAGCAAGAAGACGGTGAAGATCAGCTGAGGCAGCAGAGTACAGGGCAGCAGGGGGCCAAAAGGGCATAGATGGGAGGAGACATGTGGGTGGGGGGAGCTGAAACACTCCTGTGGCTGTGGGTGGCTGCCAAGCCCCTGAATTTTGATCACGTGACTGCAAGGGAGCTGGAATAGCCATAACTTTGGGAAGCAGTCATAAGTCCCTTTGTTCAGTGCTGCCATAACTTCCAACGGTCACGGAATGAATGTTCATAAGTTGAGGACTACCTAAGTCAAGTTTGAGTGTACTTCTCCTTTATATTTTAGATTTTTTTTTAGATTTTTTTTATCCCGCCTTTATTACTTTTATTAATAATTCAAGGCAGTGAACATAATTTTTAGTTCCCTCTAGTTTCTTCTAGTGTCCAATTTTTACAATTTTATCTTTTGAATTTAAAAATAAATAGTAAGATTTTAAAAATTGGACAAAAGCATTTTCCCACAGGAAGGATTCTTTATAATTCTTTATAATTAATTCCAAATTTTATTTCAAATTTATCTGGACCCTTACTCCATTTGTAACTTTCTAAAATCAAAGTTTTAATCACCTTTTTGTTGTTTATTCCCCCCCCCGAAATTTTTTAAGTTCTTAAACTTGTAGTTAAAACTTCTTTTGCTAAGGATTGAAGGAAACTCACCCAGTGCTGTAAAACTTGTCAATCAAAACATTTCTAACAGCTGAAAAGCAGTTAACAAGCTATTTCTGAAAGTGAAAAGAAAAGGAAGTATGCAAACTTAGTATCCTTTCAAAGGCGCCGATCGTGGTTTGAGCAGGATGGCTATTCCTTCATCTCCCAGAGCTCTAAACCTGCCAGACACTGCTATTTTGCGATCTCCTCTCATGGAGCAGTTGTCTGGAGCACTTGTGAGCAATCTCAAGTCCTCTCCTTGTCCAGAGGAATTATTGAAGAGCCGGTCTACTCACTGGCTCTTCGTTTTGCCGTGGTTGTCAGCTCCGCTTTTTCCGAAGCTGTCTTCAGTCTGCCATTTCTTCTCCAGAAGTGGAAAAGCAACATTTCCTAATGGAGCCCATTTACTTTTGACCTGCTAGGAGAATTTTGGATTTTTGTACCTAAACAAATCTTTGCTTTTATCCTGCTTTCTTCTTGAAATAGAGCATATGTATATGAATGCGGATAATCACACATATAAATATATATTTTTAATGACAGTTTCTTCAAATACAGAAAAAAGAGTATGCAAACATACCTGATCAAGATCCTCAGTAGTAGGCTTCAATGTGAGCCATTCGAGTTTTAAGTGCAATTTTCCTTTGGAGACTTCATCCAAAGTAAACCACTGTAAGGAACATCAGTAAAATGTGGTAAGAACCAAAGCCATTAGCTGATGAATTAACCTACACTACCATAAATTCCTGGACTAGGGCAACTAAGGACACTTAATATGAAAACAGTAAAGATACTATAGCTGATAGAAAATAAGAAACCACTTTGTAAAATAGGCATGAGTGGTACTGTTTCTTGCATTTCATCCACAAAACTGTAGTAACATTATTTCATAAGAAGATATATCCAACGACTTTCTAAAATTAAGCATCTAAAAATTTATTCAGGACACCTCAAAACCGTTTAACAGGAACTAACCACCCCTCTCCTGGTCATTGTTTAGAATTAATTACTACCAACCATTCCACTCCTATGGCTAATGTCTTCAATTCCATTTGTTAACACAGGATGTTATAATCAAACCGAGGAAATCTAGTCGAGGAAAACTGAAGACTTTGCTGAAATGGTATACCAGATCCAGTGTATGATTAAGCACTGTAGAGTTATTGCATGAACTTTCCCTGTCATTGTCCTCCCCAGAGTGAACAGAAAGTTACCTCATCTAAGTGACGTTCCTTTTCAACTTCAGTTAGGTCTAGCAGCAGGCTATAAAAAAATAACACAATGCATTAGAACACCATTATCTGAGCTACAGAATCTGAAGCTGGAGTTTTATAGCAGCCAAATGGTGAATACGGTAGAAAAATTGATGAGCTACCTAAACATGTTCATGCTCTTCTTATATAACCAACAAGCACAACTGAAATAATATCTAAATGCTAACAGGGCAGAAAGCAATTCTGAACAACAAAAGAGGATTTATTAGTGAGGTATGAAGTAAAGGTTATCTTCTTTTAAGAACTGCGAATAAGATAGTAGGATTTGCTGCAGAAAAGTTTAGGTCCTTGAAGCAGATTAAGATGTTGGGGGGGGGACGCAAGGAGAGAGGCAAGGATAAACCATTTTATGGTTGTCCATTCCTTACCATATATTTGGTAGTTAAGGCCAAACTTATATTCAAGATGAAAACAAATTAGCGTACAGTAATTACAGCTATGAACTGCTATCTCTACTGCAATCAATACTGCTTTGCTTCACTTCCATATGGTAACTTTTAAACATTTCTATGCCCAAAGTATTGACAAATTTTTGAAGGCACAGAATTTTGCATGCATTCATGCACTAATGGAAATACATTGGCATTTGGAAACATATTAGTCTGTTAGCTTCTTTCTTGCCTTTTAGAGCTCACCTTTACTCCTCTTTCATTTATGGACTGATCTGGATAGTGAGATTCCATGGAAGGATTTCAAATTAAAAAAAAAAAAAAAAGACATGCAAACTTATCTATTAAGATGGCTTGGCACTTACCTTCCCAGAAAGTCATCCTTGTCTGGATCTTCATCAAAGAGTTCAATCTCTAGGTCTTGTCCTGGATGTTCATAGACTAAGGCCTGGAAATATAATGAGCGAGCAAAAGAGCCAGTTCAGCACAGATCTATGACATGGCTTACAGCCCCTTTGAATTAGGCAAAAACATTAACAGATTCTTTTCAAATATACTATGGTTTCTCTCTGATGTGATTAAAAATTTAGGAAGCTTCTTTCTTCGGTGAGCTCAGGACAACACACATGGGGTTTCCCCCTCATTTTACCCTTATAAAACTTGTACAGGTAGCCTGGCTCAATTATTCTGTCTCAAAGCAAAGTCATCTAATGAACTCCATGACTAAGCAGGAACTTGAATCTGGGAGTCTCTTGCCTCAGTCGAACACTGTTTACTATATATTTGTATTCACTTCAGACCATTTGTTTACTGGCATTTCCACGGTTTTCATGGTACAGATTTAATGTGAAATTGCAACTTGTTAGTAAATTACAGCTCAGGAAATCAGAGAAACGGGGAGGGGGAAGAACAGGCAGGAGCACAAGGCTCATTTTTATGCTAAACATGGCTTGGTATTCTATCTGAGCCGTCCTACTGAACTGCAACAACAATTTTCCTACCAATAGTTTAAAAAAATCACGCAAGATCATTTTCTGTATAATAGAATTATATGACATCAGCCTTGGAGGTTCTAAGTGACTTTAATACATTTTTTTAAAAGTACAGTAATACCGGTCAGTACTTTCATACCTCATAAACTTCATTCCACTTTGGATTAAGATTTTCTTTGATGACTTTGCTTTGGAAAATTTGATTTCCCACTCGAACGATTCCGTAAGGGTCAGATTTTCCCTTAACGAGTCCTTTCAAGTAAGTATCTTTTCCCTCAAGATCCTGAGCTTCAATGAAGTGTATTCTTAGTACACCCTGACAAGAGGCAAGAAAAGTTGTCCATCATACAGCACTCAATAGCAGGGTCCCATCAGCATAACTGAATGGTATGTCCTAATGATTTCTATAAAGATGGAATGGAAACTAAGCTGATTTTTTAAACTCTTTATTTTGGAGACTAGAGTCTGGTATAGTAGCACTTCGTAGTTATGACTTGCTAAAACAATGCAGGTAGTGATTAACTAAATAAGTAACTAAAGGCCCAGTTCCTACTAGTTGTCCTAACTGCCAAATACATGACAGGCTACAATTTTAGTTAACCTCTTCTCCATCATGATACTTTTGATATTGGTGTCTTTGAGCTTTTAATAAAGAAGCATGTACAATAAGCAACAGCAGCAGTCTTCAGGGTGTGTGTGTATGTGTCCAAAACATCAAGATGCAGCAGTGGAACTGAAGGCCTCTCCCCTGCCCCTTTGTACACACAAGCAATAGCAACATATGCACTAAAGGGGTGAGATTTGAATCACAACATTGCAATCACCATCTTTACTTTTTTGACACACACACACACACCCCCGCGCAGACACTGCTGAGCACTAGGATAAAGGAGGGAAAAAAAAGAAATGTCATGGAGATAAGCCGTCATTAATTTTGTATTATTTAAATATATGTCATGATTTTAATAGTAATAGGAAATGAGTACTGCAACAAAAGTAATTCCTAGATTCAACTGAAAACTCAACTACAAGCAGAGACCAATAAAGCCCAAACATTTTACATCTTACAAGTCCTTAGAAATGAGTCACTTCTCCACGGTTTCTTCCAGGCTGCCATGGAAATGTCTGGATGGAAGGGAACCACTGGAAATAGTGTTTCTTACATGAACTGGAAGAATCCACCCAACTGGCTAGAGACCCACATTGTCCAGGCAATATCCCAGTGGTGCAGAAAGAAGATAAAAGAGATTCTCTGCTATTGTGAAATTTAATGGTCCCATAATAACTTGAAAGCCACATTAAATGAATTGTTATCTAGCTTGTAGAAGTTTTTTGTTTCTTTAGTATCTGGATTTTAGCTCTTTTAGAGTAATTATTGCCAGAAGTTGTTCTGCAAACACTCTGATAAACAAACACTATGTTATGTCACAATATGATGTTAAAAACCTTACCTTTGGTATGGGGAACCGCAACTGAGCAATCTGCACTTCGCTGACAAGAGGGACCGTGATTCGATTTGGAAGCACTAGATAATTAGATATTATATCTAGTATTATAGTGTCTGATAATCCACTATGTGAAAAAAAAAGTTTATGTTAAGATTAGCATTAATTATACATGCTGCTGCTATCAAAACAATTACATGCAAGCCGCACTCACCCATAGCAGGGCAGGAAAATAAATATCCAAGCTGAAATTGCTCTATTTCAGTTTAACCCTCTGCTCAATCCAATTACCATTTTTTATAGAGTTGTTTGGGATGTCAAGTCATCAATACATTCATTCTTCCAACACATTTCTATCTTCTGTTCTAAAAGCCAGCAATATGATTTACAAAATCTGCAACCACTTTACATATAAAAACACTTGGTCTTAAAATCTGGATTAACTCCATGATCATCAAGTCGATCTTTCAGAGAGTTCTGTGATTTACTTTATATGATTTTCAGTGCTGCATAAAAGAGGCTACAGAGATAAAGCAGACAAGACAATCTGCTTGTCTCCATTGTTTTGGAATGTGGATTTGTTTTTAACTGTAAAGGATGAAAACAACAGCTACAATCAGCATGTTAAAAAGGATAAGCTAAATCATAGGGATAAGGAGCATCCCCAACCCGTCTCCCTTTCCTAAAAAATATTTGCAGGAGAGGAGGCAATTTTTGCACAGCCCTACTTGCTTTATGCAATGATGTTGATGATTTGCTTTTACAAATGATCCAAAGACGGAAGTAATTAAATCCCAAAGCATGTATGAGTCTCATCAATACCTTTAATCACCACAAGATGGAAATAGTAGTTTAGAGTAAGAGGGATGGCCTTATTATAGCTGTATAAACCTTATTCACTCCTTCCTGCATTATCTTTCATTGTCATATGAGTATGAAAGACTAGATCAAAAGGCTCCTTATTCTGAATTTTTGTTTTCTACACTGTAAATCGATGAAGCAGATGTTAGTTTACCACACGTAAAAGATATTATTCTATTTTTAAAGGCTAAGCTCAGGCAAAACAGCAAATAAAACACGCGGTCAATTTGACTATTTTATTGTCTGAGTGCCTGTGGCTGGAAATCATATCAATCCGCTCCCCTAAGGCTGCCATCTTGTTTATAATAAATATTATAAAGTTAAATTAATGATGGCAAAAATTATAAAGTTAAATTAATGAATATCATAAAGTTAAATTAATATATGAGCATACAACTATATCAATATTTTTTTTCCTATCACTTTTTTTTTGGAGGGGGCACGGGGGAGAGAAAGAGAAATGTTATGAATTGTCTCCAGATGACCAATTAGGAAATAATGAAGTCCAATCCATTAATTCTAATCAGGATTTCTTTTTATAGAATCAGTATAAAATACAAACACTGAGTCATCTCCTTCCCTGCCCATAAATACTATCCACAGTTGTCTGAGGTCCTGCATCAAGCCGGGAAGGAAAACAATAAAAAGGCTGGGGGAAGGACAGGCCTTCCAATACCTAGCCATCCTAAAATAGCTGTCCTTGGAAAATTTAGTGGTTTAGTGGTAGACACTGGCTGCAAAGAAGTGGGATGCAGGGAGCTGGAGGTGTTTATGTGCACAGGTACATTTTGTCTAATACAAAAGAGAGATTATTAACCACAGGGACAGGTGAGAGAAAACTGCAAATATTGGGCTCTCGTTTACATGAATCCAGTTCTGTACCTGGAGCTGTTCAGGATTTGCAAGGTACACGTTTTCAGCAAAAGCCCAGCTTAAGAAAACAATACTCATGCCTGGCTGGTATCAGTTCAGCTCAAAGAGCAGCAAGTATCATGGGATTTAAGTTGCTTACATGAAGTGCAGCTCATTTGTTTAATTAAAAAACATGCCTGCAGTCTACCCTTGGCTACTTTCAACCAGCTCCTAAATTAATGTTACATAAAACTGACAAATTTTAAACAATATCTGGTACTCACTTAAGAGCGGTTGACGAGCGGCAGTGTCTACCACTAAACCATCTAATTTTCCAAGGACAGCTATTTTAGGATGGCTAGGTATTGGAAGGCCTGTCCTTCCCCCAGCCTTTTTATTGTTTTCCTTCCCGGCTTGATGCAGGACCTCAGACAACTGTGGATAGTATTTATGGGCAGGGTTGAATAAAGACTAATTAAGCTTCACTGTAGGTCATATACACACACATACCTGCTTCTTTAATCTCACAAAAAAGATTGTGCCAATTTTGATATTTTACTTATATAAACTGCACATAGCTTTACTGAGGCATACATTAATTTATGAAACCACCCAAAGGTGCGTACTAGACTACTTTCAAGTCAATTGCATCTTAGAATGCAATTCTAAAATCTAACATTTTATCGGTCAATCAGAACAAGCAGGATGCAAATACTACACTGTCTTCATACTTTGCATTTCTGATCCATTTAACTTAAAGCAAGATCCTATCTTATTTATAAAACATTAATAGCCATGCCAGCCATCAATTTCTAAAAGGCTTCTGTAAGTCAGGTAGCACCTTATGTTTTAAACAAGTGAGTAATTCACAGTATTTGAATGCAAGGGAGAGTACAAAAACCATACTTTTCTGTATTGCACACAGAGCAATAGTTCTAGTGTTTTGCTATTTAGAAAGTTTTTTTGTTTTTGTTTTTTTTGCAAAATTGCTGAAATGATCCATATGCCTTTGAAGTAAAGGATTTCTGGATGGGTGAGGAAGGTCACCCCCAGGAAACCACCTCACTGATCTTCCCCCACAGCAGGGAAAGCTTTACTTTAAGGAATTAATCTATCAACTATACAGCAGCACAGAGCTGTTAATGAAGTGACCTTCATACTTAAGCATGAGATGGTTAAGTGTCAAATATACCACACTAGTGTCCCATGACCCTGGCTCCTCTGATGAACAGCTAGAAAGATGCAAGTTCCAAGCATCCCCCCCATAGAAACAGTTAAATATATTTTCTAAATAAAAGACACATGCCACTTCTAGCTTCAGATTAACCTAGCCTACCAGAAGTACAAACATTGATAAATCATCAACAGGTGCTTCGGATGCTACATCTCACTGATAATTCAAGAGGCCAGCAGCCAAACAAGAGGTCACAGCATACACTTTTTATTGTGTGATGAAAAGGGCCAGTATGTAATTATGAACACAATTGTACAAATGTTTATATCTCTATGGTGGGTGCATCATTATCTGCATGGAAAATTAGACCAACAACAACTAACCCCATATTCAACTTGAACTTGATCTCCTTAGTACACAATTGGCTGAGTATGATTTCTTAACCAATATACTGCTGTAGGTGCTGCAAGGCTACCTCGCCAAAATCTATGTCCGTTGCTGTGAGTTTGGCTTGTTTCAAGCCCAGTCTGCAATGGGCTAGATCAGTTACAGTGTGTCTGGTCCAGGGTGCCCTTGGTTGAACTTTCCCCGCACTGAACTTTCCATCCCTGTGCTCATGTTCCTCAGAGTAGTTTGCATGGGCAGTAAACTGGATCCATTCTGCAAATGTGCCCAAATAATGTCAGCCACCATTTCTTAGATTTCATCAACTATGTTTGGCTGACTGCAGCTTTGCTGATTGATGGTTTCATTTCTTACCCAGCCTACCAATCTGATGCCAAGGATCCTACAGAGAGAGTGCATTTGGAAGCCATCCAGGTTTTGGATCTCTGGCTATGGAAGCGTTCATGATTCAGCCCCATATAGTAGCAATGGTAGTATCACTGACCAAAACATTCACCTTTTGGTTTGTACAGTAATGTTAGGCACCAGATGAGTAAATGAAAAACTGCTGTGGCAGCACCAATTTGGTGCTTCACTTCAGCTGTTAAGATACTTTGCTTCCCCTGTGCTATGAGGCCAAAGTATTTGAATTCTTGTACTTGTCCTAACTGCACTCCATTTAAGTCTATGACTGCTGGTGAACTATCAGTGGTAGGTACCTTCATCTTTGGACAGCGCTCTTTGGAAAAGCACTTGCTGCTGAGATAATGCCACATAAGATCACATGGCTTCTGCAGCACACTTACAATGGCTCAACCTGTAGGGTTCACATCAAAAGTGAACTATCAGAGGGCTTCCCAGTCTGCATTGGGGCATGCCAGGGAATTGTGTCCTATCCTACTGCCATTCAATACTATAATACAGTGTTTCTCAACCTTGACAACCCAACCTTGACAATTTTAAGATGGGTGGACTTCAACTCCCAGAATTCATGCTGGCTGGGGAATTCTGGGAGTTGAAGTCCA